TTTAGAGTTTAAATGGTGCTTAATTTAAGTAGAAGGTTTCCGTAATTTCTAACTAAAATTTAAGAAATCTGCGAATCTTTCATTTTAAGATTTTGTACTTATTGCATTTATATATTTTATTTTAGCTAAATATTTCTTTTACTATATTTTCTAGTTTTTAAGTTATGAAATTTGTTTAAATAAATAATTTTAACTTTAGTGTATACACATATATCGAAATGAAAACTTACCTGTTCAGACCGCTGTTTTTGACACTTGAATGTTCTTTTGCGTAACATTTAATTTATTATGCTTCTAATAATCACTTTTATTATTTTCTAAAACAATTTTAATTAATTTGTATTATGGTTTTTATCACTGACCGTTTTGTTTGTCGATGGTTTTTTATTGTTTTGAAATTTTCGTATTTATTTGTTTTCTTGCATAGTTGTAAAATTAGTACTTTTTACACTAACTCAGGGATGTTCATTGTGATTTCAAGTTAATGTCAAAGATATTGAACAAATTGACTTGAAGGTTGCCAACCTTGCTTAAAATATTAATCAAGTTTTATATTATTCGTATAGTTTATAGTAGAAAACATAGTCTAGTTTATTTTTTATATAAGATCTAATCTATAGTCTAGTTCTAAACCTAAACCAGAACTGAACTAACTAGGATTGAACTAGTAATGAACTAGAACTAAACTAGAACTGAACTAAAACTGAACTAGAACTGAACTAAAACTGAACTAGAACTGAACTAGAACTGAACTAGAACTGAACTAGAACTGAACTAGAACTGAACTAGAACTGAACTAGAACTGAACTAGAACTGAACTAGAACTGAACTAGAACTGAACTAGAACTAAACTAAACTGAACTAGAACTAAACTAGAACTGAACTAGAACTGAACTAGAACTGAACTAGAACTGAACTAGAACTGAACTAGAACTGAACTAGAACTGAACTAGAACTGAACTAGAACTGAACTAGAACTGAACTAAAACTGAACTTGAACTTAACTAGTACTTAACTAAAACTATTCTAGAATTGAACTAGGGCTATAATCTAGTCTACGTTATAATCTATTATTTAGTCTATACTCTAGCCTAAAAGTCTAGTCTATAGTCCAGTGTAGTCTATGGTCTTGTATACATTATAGTCCATAGATTAGTTTATAGACTAGAATGTAGTCAACTCAATAGTCTAGTTTTTAATAGGTTATAGAATCTAGTTGATCGATTAACAGACGTTCAGTTAAGATAAATATCTGCTACAATTCCATTTCTTGTTATGTTTTTAATGTAAACATATTCTTAATGGAACATTTTCTCCTCTAGGTTATGTGTTTAAAACCTCCCCTGTGTGTCACCAAAACCGATGTGGACTTTACCATCAATATCTTGGATACCTTATTCAGTAAACATTATTGAAAGCACCACGAATTGGCGACAATATGATTTGAAATAAAAACAAAGATTTCATCAAATCATTACATTAAATATATAGTATATACTCTGTTTATTATACAATTTTTTTATATTAAAAAGTTAAGCTTAGATCAGAAAATAAAAAGCTATATAGATTTCTTAGTTTTATATATAATTTTTTAGATTTAAGGATATTCTTGTTTAGTTATTCATTTTTTTTTTTGAGTGTAAGATGTATGTGTGTGTGTGTGTGTTAAAGAGGCACAGCAGTTTTTTGTTTTAAATTGTTTTTCTTGTATATTTTTTTGTTTTCTAATTGGGATTTTAGACATTATGAGCTTTTTTACACTGTTTTTAGTAACAAAATAAATTGGAATAGAAATTAACAGATTTAGAATTTAAAAAAATTTTCTAACATTATGTATAAACAAAAATAAATGCCAAAATAACTTAACAAAAAACCAACACAAATATTTTTCTTTTAAAATCTAGAAAAATATTGTTAACAATTATTTTATTTTTTCTTTTTCACAATAAAACTAATCACTCAATTAACATTAAAAATAAATGTTAAAAGTATTAAATAATAATTAAATTTGTTATTTAAATAAATTATATACATTATGTTTATTTGCATAATTCATTAAATAACTTAATTTATTTATAAAGTGTTATCATTTTCTTTTTATTTGGTTTTATTTTGAAAGCCTTTTTAAAATAAACAAATTTTATTTTCTTTAAATAAATGCTCTTAAAAAAAACTTTCATATTAAAAAAAAAAGTTATTAATAAAAAATATATGTTTTCGTTTCATATCTTTTTGTTTTTAGTTTAGTATCATTTTATAAATATTTATAATTTAATAATAAAATTAAATTACTACAGTCTTGCTACACTTGTATATCGATTAATTTGCCATCGCTGCTTATGTCAGTAAGCAAAGTTTCCGATAATTCTTTGCGAGCTTTTGTACCACCCAAAACATCAAGGCAACGCCACAAATGACCTGCAATTACAAGGGAGAAAATGAAAACAAAATAAAAAATAATTGAATAAATTATTATTTTATTTGACATTTGTTGATACAGAGGATAAATCCAAGTTACAATGCAAAGAATAATAAGAAGTTGGACTATGACATTGTTTTACAACAATAACATTTCCTTCTCTTCACAGACGAGTTCTGTGTAAATTCAACACACTTGTGAGAACTTAATTCTCTCACAATACTTCAAAACTTTTTCGCGAAAATACCGGGATAATAGGACTTGAACGACGTCTTTTCACAAACACGTAACTATTTTTTAATTTTTTACACAATTTTATCGCATTTAACAATCCGAAATATTTTTATTTTTCACAAACTAAAAAAATATTTTTTTAATTTTTTTGACAATTAATTTTTGTGTTGAAATTAAAATTGACAAAACAAAGTTGTATATTTTGGTATTAAAAATGAAAAAATTATTTAAAATAAACTTATTTTTTTGCAAAAAAAGAGATTTTAAGTCCGAAAAATATATTTATTAAATGTTTACTGATTAGATGTGGGCAAAAGAAATAAAAAAATCTGCGAATGTAGAAATTTAAATATTATTTATTTTTCCTAAAATTTTTATGTACGATTTTATGCAAGTATGTATGTTTGGAAAGTGTGGTGAAAGTGGTTGGAGCTCCAATACTAATACAAAATTCTACCAATACATACTTAGAGTTAGGTACCGAATGACAACTCCTTTACGTACCAACTGACAAGCCCCAATTTCTTATTATTCTTTGTTACAATGGAAAAATTACAAATTAAAATTAAATATTAAAGCATATATTAGGGAGGAATGGAAAATAACGCAGAAACGAAAAAACGAGCAAAGGCGACTTGAAAACTACTCTACAGTGACGTTTATGCTGAAGTATAGTCTAGATTTTTAATCTGAACATAGACTATAGACTAGAATGTAGAATAGGCAATAGACTAGACTATAGACTAGACTATAGACTAGACTATAGACTAGACTATAGACTAAACTATAGACTAGACTATAGACTAGACTATAGACTAGACTATAGACTAGACTATAGACTAGACTTATGACTATAGACTAGACTATAGACTAGACTATAGACTAGACTATAGGCTAGACTATAGACTAGACTATAGACTAGACTATAGACTAGACTATAGACTAGACTATAGACTAGACTAGACTATAGACTAGACTATAGGCTAGACTATAGACTAGACTATAGACTAGACTATAGACTAGACTATAGACTAGACTATAGACTAGACTATAGACCTAGACTATAGACTAGACTATAGACTAGACTATAGACTAGACTATAGACTAGGACTACACTATAGACTAGACTATAGGCTAGACTATAGACTAGACTATAGACTAGACTATAGACTAGACTATAGACTAGACTATAGACTAGACTATAGACTAGACTATAGACTAGACTATAGACTAGACTATAGGACTAGACTATAGACTAGACTATAGGCTAGACTATAGACTAGACTATAGACTAGACTATAGACTAGACTATAGACTAGACTATAGACTAGACTAGACTATAGACTAGACTATAGGCTAGACTATAGACTAGACTATAGACTAGACTATAGACTAGACTATAGACTAGACTATAGACTAGACTATAGGCTAGACTATAGACTAGACTATAGACTAGACTATAGACTAGACTATAGACTAGACTATAGACTAACTAGACTATAGACTAGACTATAGGCTAGACTATAGACTAGACTATAGACTAGACTATAGACTAGACTATAGACTAGACTATAGACTAGACTATAGACTAGACTATAGACTAGACTAGAGACTAGACTATAGACTAGACTACACTATAGACTAGACTATAGACTAGACTATAGACTAGACTATAGACCTAGACTAACTATAGACTAGACTATAGACTAGACTATAGACTAGACTATAGACTAGACTATAGACTAGACTATAGACTAGACTATAGACTAGACTATAGACTAGACTATAGACTAGACTATAGACTAGACTATAGACTAGACTATAGACTAGACTATAGACTAGACTATAGACTAGACTATAGACTAGACTATAGACTAGACTATAGACTAGACTATAGACTAGACTATAGACTAGACTATAGACTAGACTATAGACTAGACTATAGACTAGACTATAGACTAGACTATAGACTAGACTATAGACTAGACTATAGACTAGACTATAGACTAGACTATAGACTAGACTATAGACTAGACTATAGACTAGACTATAGACTAGACTATAGACTAGACTATAGACTAGACTATAGACTAGACTATAGACTAGACTATAGACTAGACTATAGACTAGACTATAGACTAGACTATAGACTAGACTATAGACTAGACTATAGACTAGACTATAGACTAGACTATAGACTAGACTATAGACTAGACTATAGACTAGACTATAGACTAGACTATAGACTAGACTATAGACTAGACTATAGACTAGACTATAGACTAGACTAGACTATAGACTAGACTATAGACTAGACTATAGACTAGACTATAGACTAGACTATAGACTAGACTATAGACTAGACTATAGACTAGACTATAGACTAGACTATAGACTAGACTATAGACTATACTATAGACTAGACTATAGACTAGACTATAGACTAGACTATAGACTAGACTATAGACTAGACTATAGACTAGACTATAGACTAGACTATAGACTAGACTATAGACTAGACTATAGACTAGACTATAGACTAGACTATAGACTGACGATAGACTAGAACTATGACTAGACTGAACTAGAACTGAACTAGAACTGAACTAGACTGAACTAGAACTGAACTAGAACTGAACTAGAACTGAACTAGAACTGAACTAGAACTGAACTAGAACTGAACTAGAACAGAACTAGAACTGAACTAGATCAGAACTAGAACTAGAACTGAACTAGAACTGAACTAGAACTGAACTAGAACTGAACTAGAACTGAACTAGAACTGAACTAGAACTGAACTAGAACTGAACTAGAACTGAACTGAACTAGAACTGAACTAGAACTGAACTAGAACTGAACTAGAACTGAACTATAACTGAACTAGAACAGATCTAGAACTAAAATTAGTTGTTCTTCATAAAATATCAACCGGCATCACTGATCTGCAACTACAAATTGTAAACATACTTTTAGGCTGGGTAAAAATTATATGAAAAAAGTACTTATTTGGAATTTAAGTACCCAAAAAATCCCTCATTATAGAAAAAAATAAATTTGTTAATAAAAAAATCAAACAAATATCATTTACTTATCACAACATTATGTGTTTAATGTACGTATGAGTGTATAATTGAAACATTTGTGTTTATTCATAGATAGACTAACAATGTTTTTTATTGTTTGCTAAATAAAAAGAAGAAAAAATATTACTATGTTTTTTCCCCATTGTTAAATATATGACACATGTGCGCGCTAAATTGAGTACTTAATTTTTGTACTTGTTATTTTTCCATTTCAATACATTTGAAATAAATTAATGTACAAAAAAAAAAACTAACTACAGACAACTTAATTAATTATTTAAACAATATTATTATGTTGTGTAATTAGTAATATTAGTCACTAAAAAAAAAAAATACAACACTTACCTCAACACCAAAGCTAATATAACCCGTCACCGCAGTCCCATGATTATTAAGGACTTCATGCATTGACCTTAAAGTCGAGCCCAAATAAACATTAATCATTTGCGCTGGCAAAAGACCCAAAAATGTAGCAGTATGATAGACTTTTGAATTAATTGTACTGACCTGTAATTGAAGAAAAGAAAACAATAGAAAAGGAGACATGAATTCGATAACGAAATAAATGTTTAATGAAAGGGTTGATTGGGTAAAATTAACAATTGATTAAATATATTTAATTAATATTATTTTGAATTTTTAGGAAAAAAACAACAACTTAAACAATTAGACGTTTAAGGAAAGTTTGTGTGTGCTGCGGAGGAGTATTCCAAATAAACAAAAACAATTACAAAAAATAGCAAACGACAGGAAAACACCTTTTTGTTATTCCCATTGTCTGCATAAGGTAAATAAACGTTTCCTTGACTTATTAGTATTCGTAACGCAATATTATAATAAAAAAAATATTCGACAAAATAATTATAGTTGGTGTAAAGACCAATACGAATTGCAGATACACTACTTAACTAGAAACGAATAAGAACAGAACTAAAACTGAAGTAGAACAGTACTAGAACAGAGGTAGAACAGAACAGAACTAGAACAGAACAGAACAAGAAGAGAACTGGAACAGAACTGGAACAGAGGTAGAACAGAACGGAACTAGAACAGAACTAGAACAGTAGTAGAAAAGAGGTTGAACAGAACAGAACTAGAACAGTACTAGTACAGAGGTAGAACAGAACAGAACTAGAACAGAACCAGAACAGTACTAAAACAGAGGTAGAACAGAACAGAACTAGAACAGAACAAGAACAGAACTAGAACAGAGGTAGAACAGAACAGAACTAGAACAGAACAAGAACAGAACTAAAACAGAAATAGAACAGAACTAGAACAGAACTAGAACAGAACTAAAACAGAACTAAAACAGAACTAAAACAGAACTAGAACAGAACTATAAAAGAACTAGAACAGAACTAGAACAGAACCAGAATAGAACTAGAACAGAACTAGAACTAGAACAGAACTAGAACAGAACTAGAACAGAACTAGAACAGAACTAGAACAGAACTAGAACAGAACTAGTACAGAACTAGAACAGAACTAGTACAGAACTAGAACAGAACTAGAACAGAACTAGAACAGAACTATAACAGAACTAGAACAGAACTAGAACAGAACTATAACAGAACTATAACAGAACTAGAACAGAACTAGAACAGAACTAGAACAGAAATAGAACAGAACAAGAACAGAAATAGAACTAGAACAGAAATAGAACTAGAACAGAAGAAGAACAGAACTAGAACAGTACCAGAACAGTACTAGAACAGAGGTAGAACAGAACTAGAACAGAACTAGAACAGAAATAGAACAGAACAAGAACAGAAATAGAACTAGAACAGAACAGAACAAGAACAGAACTAGAACAGTACCAGAACAGTACTAGAACAGAACTAGAACAGAACTAGAACAGAACAGAACAAGAACAGAACTAGAACAGTACCAGAACAGTACTAGAACAGAGGTAGAACAGAACTAGAACAGAACTAGAACAGTACCAGAACAGTACTAGAACAGAGGTAGAACAGAACTAGAACAGAACTGGAACAGAACTAAAACAGAAATAGAACAGAACTAGAACAGAACTAAAACAGAACTAAAACAGAACTAAAACAGAACTAAACAGAACTAGAACAGAACTATAAAAGAACTAGAACAGAACTAGAACAGAACCAGAATAGAACTAGAACAGAACTAGAACAGAACTAGAACAGAACTAGAACAGAACTAGTACAGAACTAGAACAGAACTAGTACAGAACTAGAACAGAACTAGAACAGAACTAGAACAGAACTAGAACAGAACTAGAACAGAACTAGAACAGAACTAGAACAGAACTAGAACAGAACTAGAACAGAACTAGAACAGAACTAGAACAGAACTAGAACAGAACTAGAACAGAACTAGAACAGAACTAGAACAGAACTAGAACAGAACTAGAACAGAACTAGAACAGAAATAGAACTAGAACAGAACTAGAACAGAACAGAACAGAACAAAACAAGAACAGAACAAAACAAGAACAGAACTAGAACTGTACTAGAACAGAGGTAGAACAGAACTAGAACAGTACCAGAACAGTACTAGAACAGAGGTAGAACAGAACAGAACTAGAACAGAACAAGAACAGAACTGGAACAGAACTAAAACAGAAATAAAACAGAACTAGAACAGAACTAGAACAGAACTAAAACAGAACTAAAACAGAACTAGAACAGAACTATAAAAGAACTAGAACAGAACTAGAACAGAACCAGAATAGAACTAGAACTAGAACAGAACTAGAACAGAACTAGAACAGAACTAGAACAGAACTAGAACAGAACTAGAACAGAACTAGAACAGAACTAGAACAGAACTAGTACAGAACTAGAACAGAACTAGTACAGAACTAGAACAGAACTAGAACAGAACTAGAACAGAACTAGAACAGAACTAGAACAGAACTAGAACAGAACTAGAACAGAATTAGAACAGAACTAGAACAGAACTAGAACAGAACTAGAACAGAACTACAACAGAACTACAACAGAACTAGAACAGAACTAGAACAGAACTAGAACAGAACTAGAACAGAACTAGAACAGAACTAGAACAGAACTAGAACAGAACAGAACAGAACTAGAACAGAACAGAACTAGAACAGAACTGAACAGAACTAGGACAGAAATAGAACGGAACTAGAACAAGAACTAAACTAAATCGAAACTAGAACCGAACTACAACTAAACAAGATATCATCCAAAATTTCAACACATTTCTGTGTAGGGTGCAACAACTATAAAATTTTGAGAAATCATGTATTCATGTTGCGTTTAAATAGATTTTGATTGGAAACATATGAGAAAATATAATGTAGTTATCATAAATCGGTAAAAATTAGATGTATGAAAACTTAAATTAGAAAAAAATTCAATATGTTGAGTCATATCTTTGCAAAAAAGGAAGGCATTACTTCGTGTGTTTATAAATTTTATCTTTTCTTTTAAATATTGAACTCAAATATAAAATAAAGATAAAAAAATGTTTGTTAAATTTTAACAAACAAAATCGTTTAACACTAAAATTAACTTTAATAAATGTAAAATTTTTAATTTGAATTCAAAAAGCTTTTAATTTTTATTATTTTGGGGTTAAAAAACTCACCAAATTGGGCATTGTTTTGTGTTAACATAAAAATGTAAACAAATAACAGCTGTGTTGCCAATTAAATAGTAAACAAACATTTTTAAAATAAACATGAGACACTTGACAAGTCAAAAGTTTTTAATTGCAATTTTTTATTAAAATATAATTTATACTGTAATAAAACTTTATAAATATATTTAATTTTTGTTAAATTAACATAAATTTAATTAAATATTTTCAATAATTTTTCTATTAATGTGTGACACAATTGTTTTATATTGACTTTCGACTTCAGATATTTATGCTTTCAATTTATTTTTTTTTTTTTTATTTTCATGACCACAATAACCTCATATTTATGTGTTATTTTATAACATTTAAAAGCATCTAAATACGCGTATGACATATACAATTATTTATAAATTAAATTTGCTAAAAAAATATACATTTATAATGAAAACATTTGGGCTGATCACAGGTAAACTTCAACAAAACTAGATTCTCTTTCTTATTAAAAATGTTGCAAAGATTTTCTTAAGTTTATATTAAATAATTTGTTTTCTTTTATATATTTAGTTTTGACAAGTAAATATCGTCTATATCATCTGTCATCTCTGTACGACTGTGACATTCCTTACTTGAAGTTTTCTTTTTAACCTTAACCTTCACTTTTTTGTGGAAAAGCATAAATTTTATTGAAATAGAGATTGAGAAAAACGAACAAAACCCCAAAACAAAAACTATTTGCAAATAAATAGTCAAAGTGAAAAATCTAAATCAATATGTTTGACAGTTAGAGCAGCAAATAAAATTGAAAAATAATGGAAAAATTGCAAGGTAATTTTTGTAAAATAAACAAAAATGCATTGCAAACGAGTGAAATTTGTATTATTCAATATAAATAAATTAAAATAATATATACTTTTATAAACATACCGCACGTTTAAGGTAATAATTAACAAGTTTGAAATAAAATGGATACAAGTGGAACAAGTTTTAGAGTTTGTTTCGTTATATGTATATGATTTCATAATAACAACTAATTACTTTTTAAAAGCGTTAAATTATACAACTAAAGTATTAAATGAATTGAACATTTTTTGTGTGTATAGCAGGAAAGCAAAGTAACACGACATTTAAAGGGGAATTTTGGCAAAATGTTGTTAATTTTTTTTGGAGAATTAGAGTAATTAACATATTAAGTAAAAAATAGGGTAGATTTTTTGAATTTTATTGAATACATGCTGAACTAAAACTAGAACTGAACTAGAGCTGAACTAGAACTGAACCTAGAACTGAACTAGAACGAACTAATGAACTAGAACTGAACTAGAACTGAACTAGAACTGAACTAGAACTGAACTAGAACTGACTAGAACTGAACTAGAACTGAACTAGAACTGAACTAGAATGAACTAGAACTGAACTAGAAGAACTAAGAACTGAACTAGAACTGAACTAGAACTGAACTAGAACTTGAACTAGAACTGAACTAGAACTGAACTAGAACTGAACTAGAACTTAACAAGAACTTAACTAGAACTGAACTAGAGCTGAACCAGAAACTGAACTAGAACTAGAACTGAACTTGAACTGAACTAGAACTGAACTAGAGCTGAACTAGAACTGAACTAGAACTGAACTAGAACTGAACTAGAACTGAACTAGAACTGAACTAGAACTGAACTAGAACTAGAACTGAACTAGAACTGAACTAGAACTGAACTAGAACTGAACTAGAACTGAACTAGAACTGAACTAGAACTGAACTAGAACTGAACTAGAACTGAACTAGAACTGAACTAGAACTGAACTAGAACTGAACTAGAACTTAACCAGAACTTAACTAGAGCTGAACTAGAACTGAACTAGAACTAGAACTGAACTTGAACTGAACTAGAACTGAACTAGAGCTGAACTAGAACTGAACT